CTAATACCGGTGAAGTGGTGATGGCATTCTTCAGTGACTGGAATGCTTTCTCGTGACTGTGATCCCAGTGAAACGTGACATTCTTCTTTGTAAGCTGTCGAAGTGGGAAGGTTAGGCTGCTGTAGTCGGGTATATATCTCGAACAATAATTGGTGAGGCCTAGGAAGGATCTGACTTCCAATGCTGTGGTAGGATGTGGAACATTTGTTATGGCTTCGACTTTGGTGCTATCTGGTCTGATCCCTTTCTCGGACACGATATGACCAAACACGTTTATCTGCGGTACTGCGAACGAACACTTTGGTAGTTTGAGTGTGATGCCATTGGTTCTCAGGATTGTGAGGAGCTGGTCTAGCCGCTTGAGGTGTGTTTCTCTGTCTTTGGACCATAGCCAAATGTTATCAGAGATGTTGGCACAATCTGGTACCTCTTTGATGAGCTCGTGGATAATCTCATGAAAGTGTTCTCCGGATGGTGATGCTTCCATTATCAGCCTGGTGAATCTATGCGGACCATCTTCAGGAGTTGAAAATGCTGTAATATGACGGGATTCCTCTGCCAAGGTCAGTTGAAGATAACCTTGCGACAGGTCAACCTCTGTAAAGACTTTTGCTCCCTCCATCTTTTGAAGTATCTCGTTGACTGTAGGAATTTGTACGCGCCGTCTTACAAGTGCTGTGTTAGGTATACGCATGTCTAACACTAGTCGGAGGTCCCCACTCTTCTTTGGGATGGCTATCAACGGTGATAACCAAGGCGTTGCTCCCTCAACTTTCTCGATTATCCCTTCTTCTCTCATCTCCTGCAGCTTTTTGTTTACTTTGGTTTTCATGCTGTGTGGAATTTTCCGATTTGTTTGTGCGACTGGGGTTATTGTTGGGTCAATTTCGAGCTTCACTTCACGTCCCTTGAGGTTTCCCGTTCCTTCAAATAGCTTTGGATGTTTGTTGATAATGCGACGTACATCATGATCTTGTTGAACCGGGTTGAGGGTGTTGATGTTGAGGATGATAAGTCCCAATAAGGAAGATGATTCATATCCAAGAATACACTTAGATTTCTTTTGTGCTACATAAAACTTAGCAGTTTTGAATGTACCTGATGCTGAGGTGATGGTAGCTTGAAATTCTCCGGCTAACTCGAGTGGTGTTGGTGTTCCATATGCAAAGATTCTGGCATTGGTCTTTTGTAACTTGATACGGTTGTCGTCTTTCTGAATTTGTTGAAAAATTGGGTAGTTCAAAAGGTTAACAGAGGCTCCGGAATCAATCAGAATGTTTACTTTAGTGTGTCCAATCTGTACTTGCGTTTCTGGATGTTTACCCGAGCTTGTGTTGACAGTAAAAAAAAATTCATCGTCCGATTCTTGAAGATAATCACGACTTTTCTCTTGGTTGACATGTCTGACATTTCCACTGTCCTTAGATTGAGATCTGCAATATTTTGCAAAATGACCGATTTTCTTGCAGTTGTGGCAAGGTTTACCTCTAGCTGGGCAGGACTCTATTCCGTCTTTGTGTGGGAATTTACCTCCACAGTTACGACAGGTTTGGGACTTTCGACCGCTATCTGGAGCTTCTTTCTGGTATTTATTTCCTTGAAAACGCGAATCAGGCTTCTTGGGCGACCTGTATCTGGAATTTGATCCACCGGAAATTGGACATTTTCGATGTTGTTTTGAATTCTTTTCGTTGTAATTATAATTTACCGTTTCGTTACTTTCGCTTTGGAATTTGCTGGCGTTATCGAGGCGTTTAGACTGTTCATCTGTACGTTCTAAGGTATTCCCGTAGTCGAGAATTTGTTTGAGAGTCATCGTCTCACGAAGCGCTTTCTTTCTTACCCGGGAATCGCGGGTTTTGTGAATAATTTGGGTTTTAATCTCGGCTTCCTCGCTGTGAAAATTACATTGTACTGCTTTTGTCTTCAGTCGACGGTAGTATTCGTTGAGCGTTTCGTTGGATCCTTGCTTTAGCTCTCGAAAATCGAATATAGCCATGTCCGCACCTCCTTGTGGCACGAAGTGTTGGGTGAAACAATCGATCGCTTCTTGATAAGTTGTGCCAGTGTCGGGGAGAATATCGAAAATGTCGTTGGCTGACTCGCCTACATAGGTTAACAATAAACCTCTCCTAACGGTTGAATCAAACTCACGAAGATTTATAAGCAAGTTTTCGAAACGACGAACCCATTTAGTCCATCGTTGACCCACTGTTGCTGTATCTTGGTGTGGATTAAAGGGAGGAAACGGCGGTAAACCACTGCGTGGAACTTGCGATGTTGTTGTCGCGTTTGTAGCGTTTGACGTTGTTGATGATGATGCGTTTTCAGCATTGATATCTTGACCTTCGGTATCCATAATATAGATTTAGGGTTTTTCGGACCTCGTCGCCTCTTTTATATCCTCTGTTATTCAACTTTTATAACATATATTTACTCTGCTATATTGTACATGTAAACTTGCTCTCTGGCTTAGCGTCTCCTAATCTAATGTCTCGTGACCTCATCTTATATGTCAATCACTTCAGCTGTCCAATCAGCATTTGGATACAACAGTGATCCATGCACGCGGGATGTTGCGAGACTTTCGGAAAGCGTAAAAATACACGAGCCGTAGGCGAGTGTATTTTTACGCTTTCCGAAAGTCGACCAACATCCCAAGTGCATGGATCATGCTATCCTGCACGGGAAAACCATTTGGTAATTGATTTATAAAATTACTACAGTGAAACGACGTTTAACGTGATTAAAATTACTGATGAAATGTGCAGTTCTCACAACATTCGTGAATTAACCAATCAGAGAATCGCTACTCCACGCTATTGAAAACAACAACATATGTGAACAGAATTCGATCGCAAATTCGCGAAAATATACAGCGAAAATACAGGGACTTTCTCGATAAAATAGACGAAATTTGAAATGGAAAACCCGCTAAACAGAGAGCCAAAGTAATTTTGAAGATTCTCCAGCTGAATATGTGAAGATTGCGAAGCGTTTGATCAACTTTGAAGCGAGAGATGTTGTACTTACATGCCATGGTCTGATGAATTTCAACGCTATACGCGTTGCTACTTGCTGAATAGCAATGATCGATCAGAAATTTATTCATACAACTGAACGAACGTCTCAATAATTGGAAACTTACTTCAAAGTCGAAAGGTATCGTACAATGAAACTTTACAATGCGAGTATATTTGTAAAATTATGTGCAAGAATTTCTGTTCAGAATTTCCCGTGCAGGATTGTCTGATCCTGCACGGCTGTTGACCAATCAAATTGCGTGTTTCACTGTAGTTATTATATAATTTCTATTCCCAACGGTGGAAAAATGTGATTTCGACCGGCAATTTTTATTTGACGAGTTTTTTAGCCATTTCTCATCGTTACGATTTCCAAAAGCTGTCATAGAAAAGCTAATTAACGCTCTTTCTTCCTATGTAAAAGTCGAACTGTTTAGCTACGTTTATGATGCACAACAGCCTGTTGAACTTCCGTAGCGTTTTTTTTAGACACCTAGTACAAATAATGAATGTTTATGAGTACAATAGTAAAAATATTTTCATCAGGTGAAAGATGGAATGTTCCATTCAACGAGAATACAGTCGAGTTGAATGGAACATTCCATCTTTCAGCGAATGAAAATATTTTTACCATTGCACGAATAAACATTCATTTTTTATTTTATATAGGCCTAATACCAAAATAGACTAATAGATTCGTATGAGAAGCATTTTTACGGATGCGATTTATCGAAAACACAAAGAGTGCAAAGGAATAAAACGTATAGTACAATTGCACTCGCAAAGAGTGCAATGGAATTACGTATTCCATTGCACTCTTGGAAAATGGAATTTTCTAAGTATCACGTGACCATAAACAGCCAATTAAACGATCAGAATTAAATAAGGTATAATATAATATAGACATAAAATCCGTATTACTTAATCAATGCTTTGTACATAGTTTTTTGTGATCTTTCTAACGAAACAGGTAATATCTAGCAAAAGTGAACTTGAAATTTCAACTTTTCAAACAATTTAATAGGAATTTATTAGTCAATTTAGAAAAAAAAGTTTTCTCACAACCATCTGAGATGCCTTTTTCTTTTTGTCGCATGAAATCATAACTGTGCCAGATTTAGTGTTTTCATCGTAGAATGCACGATTTTACCAAAAACTAATGTGATTAGGGACGTCGCGAAGTCATCAACATTGGGGGGGGGGTCATGTTTTGACCAACTTTTCCTAGCTAGGATTTTGACCAAGTCGAAAAAATTTTTCCCGGCAATGTTGTCGACGGGGGGGGGGAGGGCAGGTCCAAAACATTTTCCGGACTAATATAGTCAAAAAAAATTTTCCGGACTATTATAGGCATATTCAAAATCTTTCGACCAATATAAGCAATGCCTCCGATTTTTTCACTGCAAACGTAACTCAAGCTTTAAAATTGTTAAAAGTGCGAACCATTTCATAACTTTTAAGAACTTCGACCATCTTATTTCCCAAACTTTCACCAAATCTTTCCGAGTTTTACCTTCAATTTTAAGCAAATATCAGTTCCATTTTGACCAACTTTGGGCACATATCAGTTCAATTTTGACCAACGTTGACCAACGTTGGTCAAAATTAAATTCAGTTCCATTTTGACCAACTTTGGGCACATATCAGTTCAATTTTGACCAACTTTGACCAACGTTGGAATTATTGGGGGTGTTACACCCCCACAACCCCTATAGCGACGTCCGTGAATGTGATGGAGTACTATACAAAATAAACCATTTGTAAACATGCATACTGTAAACGTATTGTAAACATGGTATTTTCTTGTTTTATCGCAAGGATGGTTGGTTGAGTCCAGAGTCTTTAGCAGAAATGCCTGGCTTCCTGGAGACATACAAAGTAGATTTAGCTGATCCTTACTATGGATTCCAGTCGTGGAATGATTTCTTTGCCAGAAAGTTGAAAAACGACAAAGTTCGTCCGATCGCTGAGCCCGGTGATCCATACGTGATCTGTTCTCCATGTGATGCTTGCCCATATTTCATCGAGAGAAACCCAAAGCTCCGAGATCAATTTTGGATCAAGTCACAGCCATACAGCTTACAGCATCTGCTCAATGATGATCCCTTGACCGACAAGTACGTAGGAGGCACTGTCTTCCAAGCCTTTCTTGATACTGCCAACTACCATCGCTGGCATGCACCAGTTGCTGGTACAATAACCAAGGCATACATCAAGGAAGGCGCGTATTATGCAGAAGCTCTCTCGGTGGGTTACGATCCAACAGCCAATACATATTCACAACGTTATCTCAGTCACGTGGATACCCGAGCCATAATCCACATTGATACAGGCAAACCAGAAATTGGTACCGTAATCTTTGTCGCAGTTGGAATGGCTGAGATCTCAAGTTGTCCTCTTGAGGTCTATTATGGGCAGGAAGTGAAGAAAGGTGATCCTCTAGGCACCTTCCAATTTGGTGGATCTACATACTGCCTCCTGTTTGAAAAAGGTGTTGAGGTGCTGTTTGTTGCTGAGAGAACCCCAGTTACTGAATGGCCGAATTATCTGCAACTGGTCAATAGTGCTCTCGGTAGAGTCGATGTATGCCAACAACGCCGCTGATGAATTGAATTGTTAAACTGTTGGCCGGTATATTGCTCATATATGTAGTCAAACAGCAATTTCGGTTGGGGGATTCTAAAATGGTGAATGTAGATTAAAAAGGTTAAAATGAAACTGCATGTTTTTGATATTATGGTATTAGAAACTGAATAGTGTATAGTTATGGGATTTATTCTTATAGTTACATACTGAACAAATACTGAAATATAATCGGTCAGTAATTATTATTGTCATTGGAATATGTTTAGATAACGGTAAACAATTTTTATATTTGATTATATAAACATCGTTTTTGTATTCCCTTATACGTTTTAACATAATACTCAACGAAGTGACATCATAATGTTGAAATAAAAAATCATATTCAACTACATGACATCATGCTGTTGAAACACGAATACGAAATACGGTCCAGCCTGCCTTTCGTTTGTTGATAAACTAGTTGAAAAGTAAAGTTTATATACTGTTTTTGCCGATATATAGTTTAACGTCGTCCTTTAAATGAAATATTTCAAATAATGGTTTTTCTTATTATGTGCCGTATTTGACGTAATATAGTGTTCTTGTTTCATACGAATAATAGATATATACAAGACACAATACTTATATAAACTCGCGCACTACCTCTCAATTTGATTTGAAAAACTTCCTGTTTTGAATTCATCTTGGATTGCTTTTAAATTGTCGTTGAGAACGTCCTATAGCTGTTTCAAATTGGCCTTAGATTGCTTAATTGTCGCTTAAAAACTTCTAGTGTTTTGAATTGGTCTTGGATTGCTTTCAAATTGTCGTTGAAAAACGTCCTGTTTTGAATTTTCCAAAAACTTGAATATCTTCTGAACTCTTCAGAATTCGCCATTCGAGCGCCATCAAACCGAAGATATAAACCTATAAAATCATATTGCACCGGTGCAATGCGTGGTAAGGGCGGTTTGAGAAAGGGTTACTAACATTATCGATATACACTCTAAAAACAGGTGTGTTCAATTACACACCGAGGTGTGTTTAATTACACACCAAGGTGTGTTTAATTACACACCAAGGTGTGTACATTTTACACACCTTCCTATACAATTTTAGAAAACACACCTTTGTGTGTTAGAAAACACACCATGATGTGTTAGAAAACACACCATGGTGTGTAACAAAACACACCTAGGTGTGCTAAGAAACACACCTGTATTTTACACACCTTTTCTTACACACCTTTGATGCATATAAGGTGTGTTCAATAACACACCTTTTGAATGAAAACACACCTTGGTGTGTTCGAAAACACACCTCATACTAATTTGCAAAACACATCTTGGTGTGTTAGATAACACACCCTACGCCGATTTTGGAAAACACGCGTGCACGGTGTGTACTGAAAAATGCTTTTTAGTAACATACAATAAATCCAGTCATCAATCACGGTAATGTATGCTGTAATATGTTTTTCGGATAATAATATACAGTAGATGTAAATGGCGATATTGACTTTGCCGGCGATATCAAGTTTTACGTGTCTAATAACCGTTTGATATTTGTAATTTGTTG